GCGAGGTGCGGGCGCAACACCGAGGGTTGCGATCTCGTTGCCAGTCCCGGTCCGGTACGGGTGCGACACTGAAGGTTGCGATCCGTTGCCGGACATGAAAAAAGGAAAAAAAATATATATATATATTGTACCCAACAAAGCTGTTCTCCAGAAATGGAGAAATAAAGACTTTCAGAGACAAACAAAAGCTGAGAGGAGTTCATCACCACCAGGACTGTCTTAAAACAAATGCTAAAGTGAATTCTTCAAGCTGAAAGAAAAGAATATTAATTATAATTCAAAAGTATATGAAACAGTAAAACTCACTGGTAAAAGTAAATACACAGTCAAATTCACAATATCCTAATACTGTAATGGTGGTGTGTAAATCACTTATATATTTAGTATGAAGGTTAAAAGACAAAACTTAACATAATAATGGCTACAATAATATGTTAAAGGATACACAATATAAAAAGATGCAAACTGTGGCATCAAGAACATGTAATGGGTGAAATTAAAATGTTGAATTTTTTTAGGCAACCACTTTCTTTGCTCATCCATAAAAGTTTTATCATGACATTGCAGCAATTCAGTCACATCTTCAGGCTCCACTTCTAATTCTAATTTTCTTGCTAGTTCCACCACATCTGAAGTTACATCCTTCACTGAAGTCTCGAACCCCTCAAAGTCATCCATGAGGGTTGGAATCAAACTTCTTCCAAACTCATGTTAATGTTAATATTTTAACCTCCTCCCATGAATCACAAATGTTCTTCATAGCATCTGAAAATGTGACTCCTTTCCAGAAGGTTTTCAATTTACTTTGCCCAGATCTATCAGAGGAATCACTATCTAGAACAACTATAGCCTTATGAAATGAATTTCTTAAATAATAAGACTTAAAAGTCAAAATGACTTCTTGGTCTTGCTCTGGATTAGGCTTTGGCTTAAGGGAATGTTGTAGCTGGACTGGTTTTCTACCCAGACTACTAAAACTTTCTCCATATCAGCAATAAGGCTATTTTGCTTTCTTGTCATTTATATGTACTAGAGTAGCACTTTTAATTTTAAGAACTTTTCCTTTGCATTCACAATCTGGCTAACTGCTTGGCTCAAGAGGCCTAGATTTCACCCTATCTGGGCTTATGTATGTCCTTTCTTGGCTTTCAATGTGCCTTCCTCACCAAACTTAATCATTCTTACCTTTTGATTTAAAGTGAGGAACTTGTGACTTTTTCAGTTGAACTTTTAGAGGTCATTGTAGGAGTATTAACTGGCCTAATTTCTTTTTTTTTTTTTTTTTTTTTTTTTTTTTTTTTTTTTTGACCGGAAAGGGGATCGAAACCCTTGGCTTGGCGGCNAAAAAAAATTCTGGAGCTAAAAGATACAATGAATGAAATAAAAAATACAACAGAGAGCATCAATAGCAAAATTAATTAAGCAGAGAAAGAACCTGTGAACTTGAAGACAGGTATACAAACAGTCAGAAGAGAAAAAAAGAAAAAGGAATGAAAATAATTAAGAAAGTTTACAGGATTTATGGAAGAGCATCAAAACAGCAAATATTTGAGTCATAGGAATTCAAAAGGAAGAGACAGAATAGAATGTTTATCTAAAGAAATGATAGAAAACTTTCCAAATATGGGGAAAAGTATAAATACTCAGGTACAAGAAGATCAAAGGTCTCCAATAAGATTCAATTTAAACAAAACTACAAGCAAGACANACTGGAAGTCGCCCCGTTTTCAGGACAGGAGCGGCCCCGAGCTCTTAACTCAAGCATCTTTTATACAGTTTGGTAGGCAGGCTTTGGTAACAGGCTGGGTTGTACACCATTTATTGGCCACTTTAAGCAATTTTTAAAACCATTGGGCTTTTAGCTTTTGACGGGCAAAGGAAAGACTGAGGTATTGACCAACGGTCCACCCCCCCCTCTTTCCTCCCTTGGTGTCCAAAGATAAGGTGTCATGCTGTTCCTGCAATCAGGTGAGCATACTCCCTTCCTGGGACAGGGTGAACTTTGGGCTCTTTGGAAAGTCCCTTCCCCCTGGCAGCGGAAAGTCCTAATCTTCTGGCGACGGAAGGTCTTAAGCACCTGGTAATGGAAGGTCCTAAGTATCTGGTATTGTTTACCAAAAAGGTTGGGGGTTATCTCTACTTCCACATTCCCCTGTTTTTGTGTGTGTGTGTGTGTGCGTATTTCAATCATGAAATACTGTTTTCTGTTGGTTTAATTCCTGATATTGAATAGCCAGAGCTGAAGCTCTTGTAGCTGCCCCAGCTGTTCCCAATCTTAAGCCTAAGAGGACAGAGAGCATGGTACCTAGGGGCTCCCTTCTGGTTCAGTAGTCCCCGTTATTTTTTATCCCAGTATGATAATAGTTCTTCATAGGGATGGTAAACAAGCCGAGGCAACGACCGAACCAAGACACAGAAATCTTGGGTCTCGTTTAGGACCTGTAAGCTAACACAGGGTGTGACCCCAGTAGCGCAGGCCCACCATCTTTCTGGAGGGGGCAACAGATATGTGTCACCAGACCACTTGTTCACGTTAAGAGTCCGGTTGCACAGCTGGCTGTGTGAGGAAGGGGTATGTGGACTGCTAGCTCCTGGGCCCCGGGAAAAGATCTTTAGGCATAAGAAAAGCAAGAGAGTTTTCATCTTACAACACTTAGAACGTCCGAACAATTTTCAGTCTTAAGGGGTGCTCCTTGGAACCCCGGACTTTCCAGGCAGCGTCCTTTGATCCTTGGTCTTCTGGTGGTACAGGCTCTAAGCGGAGATCCCGTCTACCTTCACAGCCATTGGTGTCGTCAGGAGCATCAGGCAAGGTCCCTTCCAACAGGGTTCCAGAGATTGGGAGCGGTGTCACCATACAGTGTCCCCAACCTGGAACTGGTGAGAAACTTTGGGGGTCCCAGGCTCATAAGCAGCTGCCAGCTGTGTCCAAACTTCTTTCTGTATGGCTTGGAGTCCTTTTAACCTGGCATATAAGTCACTGTTACTGAGGCAAGTGGGTTCAAAGGTATTCCCCAGTGAAGTCACGGGGGCAGGGGCACCATAGTGGATCTCAAAGGGGGTCAGGTTGAACTGGGAGGGGGTGTTCCTAACTCTGAACAAGGCTAAGGGAAGGAGCAAAACCCAGTCTACACCAGTCTCCATGGTTAATTTAGTCAGGGCCTCTTTTAGAGTTCTGTTCATTCTTTTTACCTGCCCTGAACTCTGGGGTCTGTAGATACAATGTAATTTTTAATTGACCCCTAGGTATCTGGCCACTCCGGCTTACCTTGGCAACGAAGGCGGGCCCATTGTCGGACCCAATTACCTTGGGTACCCCGAAACGTGGAAAGATTTCTTCTAGGATTTTCTTGACCACGACGGTGGCTGTTTCTTGTTTGGTTGGGAATGCTTCTACCCATNCGTCGCCCGCACCGTGCTCAGGCAGTGAGCGCACCGGCCATTCCTATATAGGATCCGAGCCCGTGGCGGGAGCCACCGGTGCGCTCCCAAGCACTGCACTCTCCCGAGTATGCCACGGGGCCGGCCCCAGCCCCGGCCCCGGGCCCTGGCCTAATTTCAATATTGTTGTGTTTTGGAGTAGGGAGGCCCAAAGAAAGGGAGAGAGACAGGGGAACCGCCGGTAGGTGGAGCAGTCAGAACACATATAGCATTAATCAATTAAGTTCCCACGTCTTCTATTTGCAGAGTTCTGGTGCCCAAAACAATTACAATAGTAACACCAAAGATCACTGATCATGGATCACCACAACAGCTATAATAATAATGAAAACATTTGAAATCTTGCGAGAATTACCAAAATGTGATACAGAGACAGAAATGTGCACATGCTGTTGGGAAAATGGCACCAATAGACTTGCTCCAGTCAGGGCTGACACAAACTTTCAATTTGTAAAAGACATAATATCTGCAAAGTGCAATAAAGCAAAGTGTAACAAAACGAGTTATGCCTATACATTTTTGTGTGAGGGCTATTTTTCTTAATAATCTTCAATCAAAATAAGAGATTGAGTGCAGAAGTAAATATAAAAAATGCAATGGTCTTCTGAGAAGAGAAGAATGACATTTGCAAAATGTAAAATGATCACTTTTCACATTACATTTTTTTTTTT